GCGAGTCGAGCACCTTAACCACCTGGCCATGCCGGGCCCGTTGAATAGAGATTGTACTCGAACTTTCTACACTAGGCCTACATTATGCCATGATGATTATTAGAGTTTTAAAATTAAAATCCCACTTTTGCAGCAACTGTGTTTGTCAGCCTGTTCTGAAGAAAACTGTCCAATGCAAATGAATTTTTACTTTAACCAAAAGTATTAAAAAACATCTATGAATGTAAACATCACGGAAACTAAGGAACGACGCTTAGGAACATAAGCTTATCCGGCCCGGCATGGCCAGGTGGTTAGAGCACTCCACTCGCAATCTACGCGTCGCGGGTTCGAATCCCCATCCCACCAAATATGCTCGCTCTTTCGGCCGTGGTAGCGTTATAATGTGACGGTTAATACCGATATTCGTTGATAAAAGAGTAGCCCAAGAGTTGGCGGTGGGTGGTGATGACTAGCTGCCTTCCCTCTAGTCTTACACTGCTAAATCAGGGACAACTAGCGCAGATAGCCCTCGTGTATCTTTGCGCGAAATTCAAAACAAACATGACCTTATCCAACATATTAAGTCCCTGTTGATCAAAAGTAATAGTGGAAGTGATTTATTTAAAAGAAATAAAGGGAACTGTCAGTGGCCTCGAGGTTAGCATGCCCGGACTTTGAATCCGAGTATTCTCGGTTGGCGTCCCGTTTCAAAAGCTCGTCCGGTCTGTGGTGCAATGGGTGCGCTACGAGAGTATTACAGTCAAATCTCACTATGTGGCCCAAGGGCTGGTGGTGGGTGCAGTTGACCAGCCGCTTCCCCTCAGATTTAATAGTTTCAAATTGGAGATGTCTATGCGCAGGTAGACCTTGTGCAGCTGTGCATGAAATCCTAAAACAGACAGAGAATGGTCGTCATGATAACAGGTTATATTAGGTAGACGCAGTTGAAAGGTAGTGATTCAGTTTTTATTCTATTATCAGTGGGTGTTGGAAGAATATATTTAACCCAATTATTTTTAAAAGAGTTTTCCATTTCGCTTAACGATAATGTCAAGCAGGTGAAACTGTATCACATATGATTTAAGGTAAAACGTTAAAATCCGGGCATATAGATCTCAAAGGTGGAGAACAAACTAATTTCAAAATCATATGTGTTTTGTATTTTATTTTTAGTTTCCAGTCACAGAAATCAGTTTTTCTTAAATAAATTATTCTGTTTCTGAGTCATAAAAATCAGTTTTAGTAATTAGGTGACCACGTAAAGTTTTTATACAAAATGATTTATGACAACGTTACTATTATTATTAGTATTAGAATAGTAAGGTTAAAATGATTTTGATTTTATGTATAAATAGTAGGATTAAAATGACTACTATTCTGTACAAATAGAAGAATTAAAATT